AAAATGAAACATGCAATATACGTTTTCAAGTTCACCGGAAGACATGCAGTAGAAGGGAGGAAGATGTATTTGTGTGCTTTGATCCAAAGTTAAGCACAGTGAGTTTTACTATGAGCCTATAAATTGTAATAATTGACTGCCCAACCACGGCAAGAGGCCAGGGAGTTCAGGCTGTGATCACACCTGTTAAGTGGGGTTGATCCTATGTTTACATCACGTTAGGGTCTCTTTTCCTACTGAAAATCTGGGGAAGTATGCCAAAGTTTGGTCTTACCAATGTAACACCTCAGCTTCAGAAAATGGTACTGAAGGAGTATCAGTCCTTAACTGGAGATTTTCTCTGTCCAGCTTTCCTCGGGGTAGACCTTTTAATTTGGACTCTAGTTTCAAACTAATCATTTGTTGGCTGATAGGCATACCTTTATGGAGCGTAACAGAATCTTATGCAGCAGGTTAATAAGGCAAAGTGGGCTCTTGATACAGCATCAGGAAGTTACTCCTGGTAGCCTTATGAACTTGCTAAAAGACCTATGATGAATCACCTTACTTCTGTGTTCTCCTCTTTTTTCTCTCATCTTTGCTTACATTTTAAATGCCTGCAGGCAGATGCTACCTTTTACCGTCTGCATGTAGACTCCGTAGTATAACGTGGCTTGACATTGATTGGTGACACTTTAATATAAATTATTAATAATAATTAGATAAAATCATGTATTCAGTTTTGATTAAAGGTGTAATTTAGATTCAGAATACACTGAATACCAATTTAATAGTATGTCTATTGTGAATCTTCAGTCTTGCTTTCTCTCTCTACTCAGTGGAAGCAAATATGGATTTCAGAAGTATCTACTGTACCTAAATGTGTTACTTCCTACTCCCCTTGCCCAGACAGAAATGAAATGGTTGCGTGTTTCAAACCTGATTATTCTGGAAGTCATAATCCAAAGAATATTGGATTTTCCCGAGTTTCTCCACTTCTTTGGGTTCTTCTTTCTCTTCCCCATCAGTCAGCCCAGTTTCAGCATCATCGTCCTTAAGAGCCTAGAAGGAAGCAAAACAATACTAATAAAAAAGGCTAGTTCTTAAGCACCAGTTCAAAACAGACACTGTCCTCAGATCTACTGTAAAGCCATTAAAAGCCAGCATGACAGCAGAAATCCATATATGCAGTTTACATACATATTTATACTACTTAAGTTGCTCAGTAAAACTTTAAAATCAGCAAGCAAGCAATGGAAGTAGGAAGAAAGCTTCTGGGAATATTGCAAGCAACAATTGTTAAGAAACCTGAAAGTAGAAAGAAAATACCAACTAGATATTAAAAAATTCTTCTGGGCTCACACTGTCTCTTAAAGAGGCACAAGGAGGCAAACATGCTATTAAATAAGCAAAGTCACACCATCCAACTTACAAATATCTCGGCAATGTCAAACCTAGCTGTGCATGCTGTGAATCGTTCGCAATCGGCAACAAGTTTCTGTAGGATTACTACGATAAAGACAATGTGCTGTGGATGAGTTCTTCCTACGATCATAGGCCAAACATTTTTCATGTTTACTTAGAATGAATATGGAAGCAAAGTTATCACCATGCCATTAGCCAATGCATGTTTCTCCTTTTCCCTCCCTCCCAAGACCCATTTCCTTTTTGTTCATTCTCACTAAAAAGCTAGGCTGAACCAAATTGATTGAAAACTGATTTCAGTTTGCTTAGAAAGAAATATAGAAGAAATACAGAACTGCTTACAGTTTTGTCTATTATATAAAACCTGCGACTTTTAAAGGATACAGAAGTTATCTTAGATTCTACGCACAATTAAAATACTAAGTGATATCATTTTTGCTGTACCAGAAAGCAGAAGTGTTTGCACTGCGAAAAAGGGAATTCATACAGTTATTAAACCAAATAAACAGTAACCAACTACATAGTTCTCATTCAAGCAGATTCTTACCTGAATAAGAACTGAAAAATGGGCCAAAGTGATGAGGCAAACAGCAAAAAATTTTTGTGGAAAATGTGAACATAAATTTGAGATTATGAAAACAAAGAATCAATACTGAGCACTTGACTAGAATTGTTATCTGCATATTAAAGTAAGCAATATATAGTTATCTATAAGGGGCTTATGTGGATCAAAACGGTTTCAATATGGAGCTTCCACCTGCACAGACAGATTATTAACTGCAAGAATAAGATTTGTTCTGTTTTGTTTTGTTCTTCTTCTTTCACTGTGTTGGATGGTCTGAAGAAATCTACAGCATTTATAAATAATAGGATGCAGCTGCAACTCTTTCTCTGAAGAGACAGAGGGGTTGGAACAAAAACTGGAAACTAGCTATACCCACGGTTGATGCTGGCTCGTGAAAGAAAGTAAGAATATAAAAGCATTAGCAGTCTCACTCAGTCATGAAGACAGTAGGGCCATGCAACAGTGTGGGTGTGGTAAGAGGAAAGATTGATCTCTGAAGTAGAAAATGTTATTTTTCAGGAGCCCATTCTAAATTCAAAAGGTCAGACTCAAAATTGCACAGAATTAAGCAATTATTTTTCTACTTTTGAAATAAGCTAGAATTTCAGCTGGCATAGCTCAACTAAAATCAATGAAACAACATTGATTTATGCAAGCTGAGGAGCTGGGTTAGCGTTAAATATGTGAATGTTAGTGAACGATGAACTCTTTACTAGGAACATAAATTACAGTGCATGCAAATGAGATCAGTGAGGAAGGCTGATAGTGGATGAGAATCACCTGTGATGTTTTTGAGCCAAACCATTTCTATTTGGAAGTGCTAAACTGCCTGAAATTTAAGTTATTTTGAGATATTTTAATCCCTGAGCTGCTAGTGAGTTCCCTGGCTGTAGCAAAACCACACTTTCGTTAACAGAGAAATAAATATGGCACTTCAAAACTGACAGCCTCTAAGGCAAGAACGAATTGGACTGGAGTGAAGCCAATCAGAGGCAAAGCCCTTGCAGGACCATACATGGGGCTTTCAGGATATGGCGTGAGATGATCATGTCAGACTCCTTCCTTTCACTGGTAATAAAAATAAGCTTCAAGACTCTCTGATCCTGAAAAATTACGAAGATGTGACTCAGTGCAACTGAGGCAACCACATCTGTCTCAGTCTGGAGACACCAGGAAGCAATAACTCACAGTGGGACGTTAACTCCAAGATACACTGCTCTGAATCATCAGCACCTGTATAGTTATCCAGACAGATATATCCCAGTTGCCAGGATAAGTACTGGCCTCTCTGCTGCTACATCTAGTGTGGTCATGGGTTTTTTTTTTTTTTTGAGAGGGACTACCCATTCCTCAGGGATGAAAGGGACCTGACTCTCTGATAATGCAAAGAGAACCATCTATGCTATTTTCTAGGTACAAGGCATTCGTAAGCATTGCACTGAGGCAATAGTTACATCCCTGTACTCTCTCTAGAAAAACGATACACTCTTCTGCATAGCTAAACAATCTGGATGATGTCAGAGTGATAGGTAACTCAATGTGAAAAAGTTCTTACTATATGACTCTAGAAAATAATATGGGAAGCAAAGGAAATTGTACTTCCTGCACTGGAGTTTTCAGGAGCAGGCAGAACACGCTGAATGACTGGGAAACTTTTCCACAGGTCATGGCAGGGCTACTGGAAGGTGAAAGCTATTTCCCAAGAAAGAGAGAAACCGTTCCACATTACTCACATCAGTTGAGGAGCTTTATGAATCTTTTTGACCTTGACTCAGAAATACTAAAGAACCATGAAACACTAAGAACGAGACAGAGTGTTCTGATTTTGCCAGGGACGTAGAGCTCGGGGAGGGAGGAAGTGATGAATGATTATCTTTAAAGCAGTCTGTACATAATAGTTTTTATCTTTAAGAAAGGAATTTGCTTTCAAACTAGGAGCCAATGCTTTAAGAAGAAGCCGAGTTAAAGGAAGCACAGAAGTTTCTCATGTTTGATACAGCTGCTGTGTTCCAAAGAGGAAGAAGAATTGGATTGCTTCAAAGTACTAGAAACACCCCGTAGGGATTTTCATTTTGTATTGAGATTCTCCAAAAGATCAATATTTAATGGAATAGTACTGCAAACCTCAATTTATAGCACACTGTATCACACTATATTGGATCTTATTGTTGTACTGCTACAATCAATTAAAATAAGCAGCTATATTTTATTGGTTTTGGAGACAATAAAATACTTTTAATTATAAGCCAGCTTTCTCCTCAAGCCTCTCCAACTGACATTACTGTGATCAGAAAGACTGCATTTAGATGCAGAGGAATGTAAGCCTTTCCTTTCTTAATATTTCTTTTAATTCCATGACATTTTTAATGTTTCTTCTGTGACATCGCAGCATAGAAACACATTATTACATAGTGCCAGAGACAGGATTTATTTTTTCTATTTTGAGATGACTGTGAAGTTCACTCAAATGATTTCTTTGTCTGCATAGCATATGCAGAAACATGCAGCAATAAAACTACCTGCTATCCTCTTACATGCGTATAAGTGTCTAAAAAATGTACACTTATGTATGAGCAGGTATAAAAACATACAAAAAAAGTGTTAACCCAACACAACTATTACCAGGTGATAGGTTCACATCTAATGAAATCAGAAAGTGGAAAAAGTTAGGTTGTGTCAAGAACCTCAGCAGAGCCACGTAACAGACAATATATGCTTTATTAGAGCTTGAAGAGAAATGCATCTTTTTGATCAACGTATCTTTTGATCCACATTTGAATGAGCTCTGTAACTAGTTCTAGCCAAGGGTGCAGACATGAATCTACACATGCCGTGAGGATTTTCTTTCTGTGCCATGCTTAATCAACTGTTTTCAAGCTCATCTACTGTGTAGTAGTTCCTACAAAAAAACAGGGCTAAATTACAGCAATTCAAGATACATAGTTACAATCTGCTGGTTCTTTTTTCACTTCCATAACATAATTAAGGGTAGTTTTACAGTCTCTTATTTTATTCTGTGTTGTTGAAGAAAAGACTTCATTTTCATATTTTGTAGACTCATCTTTTGCATCAGAAGAAAAAAGAAAGGATAAAGAAAACAGTGCTTCTGCACATTCTACACCTTGGAGCAGGTTTTTACATTTCCTGATCTGCTTGACTCTTCCACTCCACAAGGCAACAAAAGCCACTTTGCAATGCCAGCTGCTCTTCTGACACTTTAAACCTCCCTTCCTTCCAGCTCAGTTCCATCAAAAGACCTGCACCCTGTGACTGGGCTTACTCCACCGCTATCCAGCATGACACACGATAGATTCTAGAGGCTAAAACATCTTCAGGAATATTTTTATTTAATCCCTCCCAAAATTTCTCATAGAAATCATGAGGGTCTGCAAGGGATTTAGCACAGCTGGTCTTTTATTTGGCTTCAGATTCTATAAGTGCAGAAGCTCCAAGAAATCAAACTAATATAAGATTCAGATATCAAAATTGCTTGCGGTAGTGTACTTTACGTCCTATAAAGCAAGGCAGAGGCCTCTATCATGACTGGGTCACCATCATGACACAAGGATCCAAGAAGGAATTGATTCTGCTCTGTTATCTTAGTGTTGCATTTGTTAATGCCTAGTTCATTTCCCAATCTATTTAGGACTGCACACGGAGTGTCTTTCATTGCCATATGTAAAGAAATATCTTCATTAACAGTGTTTTTAGGACTGCTTCCCTTCATGGGGTGACCTATGACTTCACTTTAAGGAAACAGTTACCAATAAACAAGAATGAGACACCTTAGGCAGGAAAAAGTATCATGTTGACTGCAGTCTGCAAGTTTATGTGCTGCACAGCACATGTTGCAGTCTGAGTTCCATCTAAGTCTATCCCAGCAATCATTCTTTTTGTTCACATCGTGAAAGGGATATTTTTTTAATGTGTGAATGATGCCCAGTCCTCAGGCTTATGCAGTGACTGTTGAGTTGAACAGAAGAAAACAATATTATTCTGTAGAGGGAATGTTCTGTGTCACGTCCAACAATGAATTTATCACAAAGGCAATTTTTCCTCCTATTGATGTCCA